GATATAAATTAGCCAATCAAAAACCATTAATTTTTGTTACACAAATAGGTTAAACGAAGTTATACAAATTAGCAAAATAATGCTAGTATTACAACATATGGGTGAAAATCTCCAATTTTGTGATAATTTTATGTGAGTTATTAGGTTAAATAAAATTTGAGCCAATCATTTATGTGATATGGCATGATTATTAAGAATAAAAGTGATTTTTTGATTAGAGGTTTAAGCCCAATAATGAATTGCTTATAAATCGCTTATGAATTTTACTCATAAATTTGTATCTAATTGTAACCTGATGCTTATAACTTTTGTACGTATGTACCTAATTGTGGCCTAATTGTAATTTAATTACTTATAAATCTAATAATCACTGTGTTTTAACTGGAGATTTTCACCCATATGAATCAGACCAAAAATTTTTTTAGAAAATCGATTAATCGATAATTAATCAATTAGCTGATTAATCGATTAGTCATGATTAATTGACTAGTCAACTAATTGATTATCTAACTAGTCAATTAATTGTTGATTAATCAATTTTCAATTTAGTCTAAGCCACTCTTGGAACATTAATAAAAAGCAGATTCTGATTTTATTTTAATGATTCTTCTATTCATAGTAATAAACTAAACTCGCGTTATATATGTATATACATACATACAGCAAAGATAATATTGATATCGATATCGATATTGGTATCAATATATTAATAATATAGTTGAATACAATATACTTAAACAGATGTTATTAGCACCTTTATTAAATCTCAATTAGCATTTTCATAATGCAGTATAAGATATGTACTTGTTGAAAAAAGTTAATTTAGAACTGGTCATCGCCTTGCTATAAATAATAAAAGAACTTCATTAATACAATATAAAAGATAGAACTTTTTTAAAAAAGAAATCATCGAACCTCTAAATGCAAAAAAGACTACTGTATTATTTGATTTACTCAAACTCTTTATATGAATGCATATAATCTATAATATAATATGAAAAAAAAGTTTATTAGCATTCATCCTAATCTTAATATAAAAGTAAAGCAATGTAAGCTATTTAAACTAACCTTAACGCAAAAGAGAAACTTCAAAAAAAACCCATTATCGTTTAACTTGTCCATACCCTATGTAGCATAAAAAAAAAACAAAACAGAAGCATACCAAGAGAAAACCTGAAATTTTTTTTCTAATAAGATTTTCCAGTTTTTTCTTGTTGTCACTGATATAGTATAAGTAATGAAAATGTGAAATTTATAACATATGTATGTACCTACGTATACACACTGCTACTTTTTTAGATTAGATTTTTTTTGTGAACATGTGCTCTTATAGTGATTAGGTTCATGACAAAATCCACATAGTCTTGTGCTTGCACCTGATTTAGCTTTTTTTTTGATATATAATCTTCTTGTGCACCCTTAATATGATTCTTCTTTGGAGCCCCTTTTCCAATATGATTTAAGGGATTAGCAACATTATCAATAGAAATTAGTTGATTATCATCAGTTTCTATGGCTAAAACGTTTTCTGAACTATGGTTCTCTCTAAGAATTCACATTTTTCTTTCTTTAGTTTCTTTTTCACATTGAAGAGTCTTTTTTTCAATGTAATTTTTCAAGAAAGTATCTAATTCATTATCATTTTCACTATTTTGTAACGTAATAGCCTTCTTTGCAAGACTCATTAATTTGTTAAATTGAAGCTTCTTGTCTACATATTTTTGAAAACTATTTTCCTGGACATCATCAATTCTAAATAAGTTCACATTTGTTGCACTACATAATTGATGTGTAATCATTGCTAATTCAGTATTTCGATTTGATGTTAAAAATGGTTCTTGAGCAAGTTCAGATTCAGTTATATCATCCTTGCACCAACGAATAGACAACAGCATTATATAGAACCTTGCAAAATCTGATTCAAGTAACACACAAAAAAAATGTCAATATACGAGTCCATGATTAAACGATAAAAGGCAAGTACATAGATGACATTCATTTTTATACAATATAACATAATGAACAGACTTAGTTGAAATCAAGCATGTAATTCTCCAAACTTCTTTAACAGAAGAATATTCATTTTCTTTAATTAAAGCCAATAAATATAATTGCAAAACATCATATGTTTTTCAATAAAATCATTATCATATATAACGTCTTGTAAATTTAATAAATCAGAATTCCACGACTGTAAAATAGAGCAGTTAATTAAAATAGCAAATAATAATAAAAATAACCCCAATATCACCTACATACATTTAATATTTAAGCCCGGTAGATAGTTAATTGAACTATCTGCTTTTGTTGCTTAGTTGCTAAATTTGGTGTTAAATACTTATTTATTTGTTGAATGACTTGTGGAAAAACAGTCTGTAAAACAAGATTATCATTATAATTAATTCGGTCCTGAGACTACAAATTAAAATGTTGACTAAGGCTTTCATGCTCAATGTGTTGATATATTGCTTCCATTACTTGTAATAAAGTTGATGAACTATTTATAGCAGTTTTGATATGATTATTAAGTCCTTCAACTCTCTGTGTCGATTGCATTCCACCAGTAAAAATTTTAAATGTATAAGCACATGTCCATGATTCTTTACTTAAAAATAGCTTTTGTAGATATGAAGATGCAGCCAGATAATTATTCAAAAAATTTGTAAATCTAGCCTCAAATACACTTTTACTTAAACTATTACACGTCAAATAAAAATCTTTAATAAAATCTGTATACTGCATGCCAAGCTTACATCGAAGATTTTTTAAAAGATTTTGACTTAAATGATACAAACAAAATAAATGTTTGGTATTCGGAAGATCATGAGCTACAACATATTTTATGAAAAGATCTTTATCCATCATTAAAATTCTTGGCAAAATTCCAGTAGCTTTTTTTAATTGCCCCATAACCCAATAAAAAGATTCAATAGTTTCATCAGGCATTAAAGCCTGTGCTGCGATTTGTGTTTTGTTATGATTATCAATTAAAACAAAAAGGCACAAAGGAAAATTATAATAGTTTGTTTGTGCCATATTGTCTTGAACTATTATGTCACAAAACCGAATTCATCTTTCACATTGACCCAGGTCCATCCAAAAAATTCCATGGAGACGATTACTAATAGAGTCAACTAAGGGTTCAATATACCAATTAGGATCCTTTTCTCTGTATTTATAAAGTTGTTTTAAAAGCTGTGATGCTTCACTTCCTTCCACATTATGTTTTCGTCATAACTGAGCCACAACATTTGCAAGATCACATGTTAAGAAAAGCTGGTCAGGATATTTAACAAATAGAAGAGATCATATTGTTGACAGGTCACACCGACCATTTACTGTTAAATGGTGAATTTCTTCGCAACAATCATCAGAGAATCGACGATTTACAAGAGCAAAAATTTTGGTATCTGGTGAAAGTTGATGCTCAACATGGTTATCATTAAAACTAGTAATTTGAACCACACCAGTTGCAAACGACAGATTAGCTTTCCAATCACAGTTAAGTTTTTTAGAACCTTTATTATGTTGATTTTGTAAGTTATTAGTTTTCTTTGGTTGATATGTTCCACTAAATTCACACTTATAATACAGGTTTATTAAACGTCCATTACGATCAGTTTTATTATGTATCTTAATTGGTACAAATCCTTTTTGACGGCCATATTCAGCAATATAATGTTCTGCAATTGACCAGTTAGGAAAAGTATCATCAATGGTAAATACGATTGCTTTGTTAATGTGAGGTAATGCGCCATTAATTCCAACCAAATCTTGTCCTTTATGGGTTTCATGCACTTCATCATGTGTTTCATCATGCACTCCATCATATGTTTCATCATGCACTTCATCATATGTTCCATTATACGTTTTATCACACATTTCATCACACATTTCATCATGCATTTCATCACATGTTTCATCACATAATGTTTCTTGAGGGGAGTCTATTAATTCTTGAAAAGAATTTGAAGAGGAATTCATTACTTTTTGAGGAAGGTCCACTAATTCATAAACAGATTCTAAAAATTCTTGAGGAGAGGGATACAAATTTGAGACTTGATGTCTTATAAAATGTTCTGAGTTGAAAGTAAATTCCATAAATCGTAATTGTTTGGAGTAAAAAAGATCAGGAGGAAGGCTAAAAGTAATATCTGCACAGGAAAACAACCACAAAAAAGAATTAAAGGTCAATAGAATGAAATAGTTGATGTCTAAAAAATAAAGATAAGTTAAATTCAGAAAATATTCTTATGAATATAAATACCATAATATTCATATCACTTTATTACAAAAAAAGCCACACTTCAATTCGACGCTTCAATTAGAAAACCATCCAATAACCTTATGAAGGTACAAAAAATGCAAAAACCAAAAAGCCATCCAGCGCCTTTGCAAAAGTCAGAAAACCCGTTAATAAAGAAGTTTAACATATTTTACCAAACACATTTATGAAGGCAAAAAATTATCTGACACTTTAATTAAAGCGAAAACCACACAACACCTTTTTTAAGATAAAAAAAAGCTATCCACAGTGAAATTACTTAGCACCAAGTGCCACCTGACACCTTTGTAATAATAGAAAGAACCTTCAAGCATATTCATAAAGAAGAAACTGTTAATTAAAAGTTCGATTAAACGCTATCTTATCAATATTATGAACAAAAAAACTATCTGGTACTTGACTAAAGCAAAATGAGCTACTAGACACCTTGTAAAGGAAATAAAGAGCCACATAATACCTTCGTAAAGTGAAAGGACACCTGGTATTTGTAAAGACAAGAAATATTAAAGAAATTCAGTGCCTACTATTTATTACACTTGCGAATCAATAAGAAAAAAGGCTGACGTCTTGATCAAAATGAGATGAACCAACAGACACCTTGTAAGGAAAAAAAGAGCCACGTAATGCCTTCAAAGAGCAATAAGACACCTGAAATTGTTGTAAAAACAAGAAGCACCATTAAAGAAATTCAGCGACTACCATTTTAGTGACACTACAATTCAAAAAAAAATGCCAGCACCTTGAATAAAGAAAAGCCACCCACCTTTGTAAAAGAAATACTTTGTAAATAGAGAGAGCCACCTGACACCTTGTAAATAGTAAGAGCCACCTAACACCTTTGTAAAAGCAAAAACCACCCAACACTTTCATAAGTGAAAAAAGGTCACTTCGATATTTATAGATAATTAAAATAACGTGATATCAAAAGTTTATATATGCAAAATTAAATCATGTGATACGGTGCGATATATAACATGATGTTATAAATATAATATTTCTTATTTTAATTATATTTTATTTAAATTAATTTTAAATTTTAAATTATTTATATTTAGATATTTAACAATTTCTTAATGAAGTTTGTAATAATATTTTAAATATTTTATCTGAAAGATGAACTAAAATGTATCATCCAGTTATAGAAATTACATATTTATTAGGTCCTAAGTTTGTTGATTGTAATCTTGAAGAAGATGAAATGTCAATTATATTTGATTTTTTAGAACAATATTATTTAGATGATGCAGAAGAAATTTATATACAAATACTTTAATATAAATTACAAACTGGACCTTTTCAAAATCAATTTGCTTAGAAAACTGTAAATAAAGTTGATTTAATAACTTGGTAGAATGGCAATTTTAAAACTTCAGCTTTTAAACTTTACAAATTAACACAACATATACTTACAATTCCAATATTTTCAGCATCTTCAGAATGTAATTAATCAGCATTTAGTTTTATATATAATATTAAAAGAAATTGATTAATATTAGATAAAGTTTTTAAACTTGTTTATGTTTTTACAAATCATAAACTAAAGTTAATACAAATTGAAAAAAAAATAATTATGAAAATGAAAATTCTGATAATATATTTGATAATTAGAATAAAAATAACAATGAAGATGAAAATTATGATAATGAAGAAATAAATAATAATGAAGAAGAACAAATTTAATAAAATAGAAAATAAAAATATAATTTGTGATGAAAATATGAAAAATAATGAATTAGACTAAAATATAAAACATTTATATATATTTAACAAAAATATATAATTATATCTTATTAAGAATTTTTCTTAAATATATTAAGGTTTTTTTAATATAGATATAATTATATATTTATATAAATTATAAATTTATTATTTATAACTATGTATTTATATAAATATTATATAAAATAAAATTTTAAATAAAATCAAATCTATATTTAAAATGATTAAAATAAAAAGTATACAATATTTAATATTTAACTAAAATTATTAATATTAATTATTGTAGTATTTGTATTGCTAATTATACAATATATATATATTTTGTTCTAACATATTTATACTAAATTTTTTATACAAATAAGTTATAAATTTCTAACATTATATTAAAAGACTTGTTAATGCCACCTTCTATTTTTATTAATGCCACCCTTTATATAATCTAACTCTAATTAATAATTAGGGTCTGAAAGGTCAGAGATTAAATATTTTGCATAATAATAATAATATTTGAAATCATTTTACAAAAATTAGATTAGATGAAACCTTTAATTCAAGATGTACTTAATATAATTACTGTTATTAAACTTTGCAAAAAATATATACAAATTTACTATTTTGATTGGCCAATAATAATGATCAAAAATTTACTGAGGTAATATTAGCAAAAGTAGGGGGTGGCATTAACAAATCTCTATATTAATTATAATCTAAACTAATTTTTTATAAGTAAGTACTATTTATACTTTTTTTTGTCATTGTATCTTTCACTTACATTACAAAAATATTCTTCATGATTAAGTCACTCTTTTAAAAATAAATATAATATGTAATTTTTAGTAAAGAATTGTGACTGTTTATGAAGTAAAATTAGGGTTTGAGAATTTGTGACTTAATAAATCCTGTGTGTCATGCATAGGATTTTTTGAAAAACCACAATTTGCCCATCTCTAGCTGTATGTTCTCTATACTATTCTAAAAAATAACAATTATGTATGTCCAACATTGTCTTGCATGAATAGTTGAAGTATAAGTTGTAATGTGCCACTTACTATATGCTAAAATTTTGACAGTCATTTTATAAGTTCCAGAAGTTTATGCCATAACATTTATAAGTTCTTAGCAATTCTGAAATGATTACGGAATATTCCAAAACTATGGTATAAAAAAATTTATACTAATACATACTATATATACTGTACGTACTGTACATTAAAAAAATCTGAGCATCATATAAATGACACATCACTAGTTTTGAGACTATACAGTAACCCAATTTACATAGGATTAATATTATTGTACATATGTTAATATTATTAAAATGAACCCGGAACGCTGATGTCGTCTAATAAGGTCCTTAATCAAAGACTCGATCCATCTCTTTTGTTTGCATAAGCTTACATAGCATCGCCTAGGAAAAATGATAGCCGAATAATTTCCCTGACACTACCTAAATCCGGATCTTTATTGCCGGTAGTATGTAAATACATATATACGTATGTATATACGACAGATAACAAAAACTTTTTCAAATAATTAGTGTTTTTGATTACTACAGTACTATAAAATACAATTAAAAATATAATACTAATTATATAGTAACAGTATTAAAAAAAAACTTTTGATTTTCGATTATATGATATGTAGCACATTTAAATAAAAATTTAACTGTTTAAATATTTGAGCAAATACAATTTTGCATTATCAATATAGCAATAACACTATTTTGTGCCTAGTGAATGTTATTTTTTGCAGACTTTATATACCATTAGAATGTACTACCCAAACATTCACCTATTATTCCCAATACTGTGTATTATTATTAAAGTCTTTCTATGTTTGGGGCATAGTTTGATGACTTTTTAATTTCATGATATCGTCATTCATTTTTTCTAATGGCTAAAAGTTTAAACAAATTCTTTCTAACCATAGATGTTCTTTTGTTTTATTACGTGATTCATCTAATAACTCTTTTGTCTTGAATACAATAAAAAAATTGTCATCAATAAATAGCTTACTATAAATAATTTATAGTCTTATATATACCTTGTCTAAAATTCCAAATAGATAAACCAAATCAGCTTCATATGTATCCTGCTTTTCATCATCGCTTTCAATTATATAACAATCTTTATTGTTAATAATTGAATCTTGAATTAATTGAATATTTGAGACTTTATGAGCTAAGCAGCTCCTGAATTGGAATATATTTACTAGTTCACCTTCGTAAGTTGAAATTAAAGGATAATTTCCATTTCTTTGTACCTATTATAGTAGAATAAAAACATTAATATAAATAAATACGTATAGAAGTTTATTTATTTTTACCTTTTTAAAAAACATTGCATTGACTTTTTCAACAGAATTGACTAGATGTTTACACAAAAAGAAACAATTTTTAATAAATGCAGAACATGTACATATCCATCTAATGGGATTTGTAAAATATTTGTTATTTATTTCTATTTTTTTTTTTCGAGACTTCTCCATTCTTTTTTAAATTCCTTTCGCTATGGCACTGTATAACGACCTTGTTGGAGTAATTTAAGCTGATATAATTGTTGGTTAATAACCTTTTTTACAAGAATGTAACATAAATGATCGATCCTTGGTTTATGAAATTTATATAAATGATCATGTTTGATATGTCACCAATGTGACTCAACTATCATCATGGTTTTGATATAACTAATATTTTCACTAGCTGCCCGGGCCCATAAAACCCATTTTTCCTTAGAATACCATTCTTTCCATAAATAGATCCATAATTTAAGTAAATTATTACTTTGACAAAACAGCATTATCTCGCTAACACATTCTTCCAAAATATGATTTGCATTATTAATAAATATTCCATCTGACCTTGGTAATAGCATGTGTTGATTTGAATGTTTCTCTACAAGATTAAGTATACTTTCCCGCAAGTTTAAAGGACAAAATATTTGTACATTTGAATCACTTATAATTCCCCAATTAGGATCTATAGTTGGACATTCATTATGAGCAAGTTTTGGATTGTAGAAATAATAAATTCTTGTTTTATTAGATGCTAATTGTTGTTTTATTGCATGACGAATATGCCAAGTACATAATTGTAAGC